GATGTCGTCCACAGCAAAGACCAAGCACGTTTCAGCAACTTCAGCACGAAGGAACTCTGAATCTGATATCGCTGATAGCTAAATATAAAAATATTATTGAGTGCAAGGACTCAGATACAAAACAGTAATAGGAAAAAAAATGCAGCATGAAAAGCTCTATGTGCTGAATTTAACAGTATGAGTGGCGAAACCGCACGTGATGTAAATACAATAACTTAAAGAAGAGGGCTAAAGGAAATTTTGCACAGGAAAGATCCAATGCTTTTAGAACTGGTGCGGGCCCGTCAGACCCGTCACCAGTTACTGGGCTGGATATTCAAATAAAGGAGATTATAGGTAAACAGTCTCTTAAATACTCACACAGGGCAATTAGTGCAGTCCTATTGTGTGAACCACATTTTACACTTGCAGAATTGCCAGTAAGGATTATTTTTATAGGTAAGCAAGTGACAGGTGATGACTCCATTTTTGACTTGGATGCCATCGGTGATCATCCAACAAGAGGGAATGACATAGAAATTGTAGGCACTGAAGTTGTGGATGAAACCATCACCATTGAAATTAACGATTCTGATGGGGAAAATGATTTAAGTGATGAAATACAGGAGGAAGTGTCATCAAATTTATTAAATTGAAAAACAAAATGGAATTCCCCAGGTGTACCAAAGAGAAACAAGAAATCACTGAGTACACCACATTGTAATTTAAAAACCAAATTAAGCCAGTGGTCAGCACAAAAAACAGAATGTGCTGCTTTACAAAAAGAATATCTCCGTGAGGAACACGAACAAAAACTTCGCCACAACGAGGAAAGGCATCATAAATATTTGCAAAAATGCAATTTAAGAATGCAGCACATGCAGGAAAAGCATGAATTAGAATTGCAGTTGTTAAAAAAATCGTTTGAATTAAACAAAATGTAACGACAATCTAATGAGTGGTCCTAATCTACAACAAGAATTATTTTGTATATTAATTCGATTCCGAACATATAAATATATAATTAGTGGTGATATTGAGAAAATGTACCGGCAAATCTTAGTAAACGATAACGATGCTAATGATCAATTAATTTTATGGAGAAACACTAAAAATGACTCCATCAGAACATATAAGCTGAAAACGGTTACATATGGTACTGCTTCAGCGCCATATCTTGCAATGCGGTGTCTGAAACAATTAGCCTTTGAAAACCAAGACAAATATCCACTTGCTTCTTTTCATAATTTAAATAATTTTTTCATGAACTATTTGCTTTGTGGTCACAATGCAATTATTGAAGCAGTCAAATTGAAATTACAAAAAGAAAATATATAGATTTCGATTGTACAAGTGGGCATCAAATGATTCGACCTTTATTCCCGAAAATTGTGATCAGTTTGATAACGTTGTACAATTTAATAAGGACACAATAAACTTGCCGAAAAGCGCACGCCGAGCTTTTGAACCTCTGAAAATTAGTTAGCTTTTCCTCCACCCGTTCCTTCTATTTCCCAGTTTAATAAAACTTGTACTTTCCTTCTCGCTTTTTTTAAATCATTACACACGTAATTGTTACCAGCCCCTTGATGTTTATTTTCTTACGATTATTTGATTACTATCGACGGCTATCCATTTTGCACATGATCGTTTCACCCGATTGCTTTTTATCTTATTTTCGGGATTAGATCTGTCAATTTGTGCTAGCTTAACCTGCCCGGTAGCAGCTCCAAATTTCGGCGAAATAATACCTAGGCAAACCCTAACCACATTCAAAATAAACAGTACCGTTAAATTTTCGTAATTAATAACGGAGAGGTGTTAATAACTGATAAACACAAGGCCGAACTTTTGGCCGAGCAGTTCCAGAAAGCGCACATTAAAATTTACTTTCCACTCACTGAAAGGCAGGTAAGAATAAGTAATAAAGCAATGAACAAAGAGTGAACTGTTTACTACATAGCAGTATCCTAACATATCCAGTGGACTCGTTCGCAAACTCCTAAACAAAAAAACGCCACATAAGGGCACGGTAGAAAGTATAATTCTAAAGAATCTATCAAAAAAGGCCATCGTTCAGTTATATTATCTCTTCGATGCGGTGTTCAAAACGAACCATTTCTGGGAACAATTTAAAACAGCCACAGTAGTGCCGGTCCTGAAGGGACGTAAACCGCACACTAATCCAACAAATTATCGACCCATTACTCTTCTGAACAATATCTCCAAATTGTTCGAAAAACTAATAAACAAGAAACTTGCAAATTGTAAGGATAGTAAATAATATTGCAATTAATTTTATTCCTAACAATGTCGTAGTAATGAGCACAACCCGCAAAAAGCAAGTACAGCTATCAAGGGGCTACATACTCTTGCAAAAAAGCAAGCTCTAATCAAAAAACAAACTTTATTATTATTATTATTTATTTTTATTTATTTTATTTATGCATATTTACTTTGACTTGCAATGTCACTTTTAATTATATCATACTTGCTATGCTTACGCATCGTAAACCTCGGTCGGAAGCACGAATTACCCAAGGTGATCAAAGCTACTTCTAGAGGAGGGAAATGTTATGATTTTTAACTTAACCTTAAACTTCTCACATATAAAGCAAGCATACGTCCCCGCGTGGATCAACCAAAGCGGATCATCACTAAACCATTCTAGATCAATTTAGGACAGATGTGCTTAAACCCTGCCGAAAGGCTCACCATAACATTAAGGTGAGATAGTTATTTGAACATAATCACAGATTTTTAAGATTCCAACTATTGCAGGTATTTATCTATTGGAGACCACATGATATCTATGTCTTATTTACACCGTGTTGGGAAAAGTACTGTTTCTGGTGTTATTAAGGAAACTTGCAAAGAACTATGGTTGTGTTTGAAAGACATAACCTTGAAGTTGCCTTCACAAAATGAATGGTTGATCTATCGCTGAAGATTTTGAGCAGCAGTGGCATTTTCCCAACTGTATTGGTGCTTTGGACGGGAAACATGTAGTAATAACAGCACCACATTCTGGTTCTTCATTCTACAACTACAAAGGCTCTCATAGCGTGGTAGTGATGGCAGCATGTGATGCAAATTATTGTTTTACGTTAATTGATGTTGGAGCACTGCCTACAGTCGGCGGTGGTCTGTGTTTTGACAAGTAGGTGTAGAACACGTGTAGAGCATGTTACGGTAAACTCGTTTTACAAATAAACATCAAAGAAGTGTTGTTGGTTAATATTGTCTTAAGTAAGTATATGATAATAGCAATATAATAGTGTAATAGTGTTAACAAAATTATAAAATCATAGGTTACAATGAACAATGCCCAAAAGAAAATGCGTGTTTTCGGATGCGATAAGCAAAGAGTTTCCATCGTTTAAAAAAGTAACAAACAATTTTGATGCCTTTTGTAGAATTTGCAATTCCAATTTATCAATTGCACACAAAAGCAAACTTGATATAATTGACCATCTTACTACCGACAAACACAAAAAAAAAATTTAAATCTCAAGCAGGATGCAGTTCGTTAGAAAATTTTGTTGTAAATGTGGGAAACAGCAAGTTAATAACAGCTGCTGAAGGGGCCCTGTGTTTTCATACTGTTCGCCACCATCAATCATACAAATCAATGGATTGTTAAAATTAAATTAATTAAAGAAAGTTGTATACAATGATTCGGCAATTATTAATAATGTTTTAGCACCTCATTCATTGGAAAAAATTTGTCAAGATTTGAAATTTATTTCGCATATTGGTGTAGCAACAGATTCAAGTAATCATGCTGCTCTTAAAATGTTTCCCATTGTAATACAATATTTTGACTATTATAATGGCGGAATTCAATCAAAATTGTTACACCTGTTATCTGCACCAAACGAGACAGCCGAAACTGTATCTGATTTAATTGTAGCCAATTTACAAAAATTCAATTAATGATTAATCACCTCTCCCTCGCCTCATATCACATAACAATCTTCTATATTACGTAATAATAATCTATATTGCATAATACTCTTCCATATTACACAATAATAATAAAACCAAAAATTAAATTAATCCCATAATCGCATCATAGGTATGTATCAAAAATAAAGACTAAACGCCATACATAATATAAGTTATATAAAGTAAATATATGTAGGTATATCTTGAAAAGCAAAATTTAAATAAAGTAATTAAACATCATTGCTATAAAATCCAAATCATTGATAAAATTATGAATCCCCTGCAAGGATCTCAAATTTTTAAACCTTCCACGTTACCAGTGGTTTCTGGAACAGTCCAAGAAGCGACCAGAGGACCGATGACAACCCAAGACGACCAACTGCAAGTCGTAGCCTGCCCAGAACAAATTGACTGCCAACGTTTGGCCGTTTTTTTCGGATGGAATCCTCGAAAACCCCAACAAGTTTATGGAGGATTTTGAGGCGTTTTACCTGAAGACACGGGCGAGGAGTTCGAATAAGCTTGATGAAGTCCGTCTGTGTTTTAGGTGAGATCCCGAGTCGTGGTATGACATTAACTAAGCCCACTGGGATACCTTTGAGGGTTTCGGCAGGAATTCTTGGGAGTATTTCTGGACCTGTGAGCGCCGGAAGAACCGGTACAGAGAGCTCACGTCGAACCAGTTCGATCCAAGCCTAGGTGTTAGCATGGTGGACTTCTCCTTGGGACGACTAAGTATCGCGCCGTCGCTGATGCTGCCGCATTCGGTGACAGTCAATTTGGGTGATTTAATGAGGCTTTTTGCAGGCGATATCCAGAACTTGGAACGCTGTTCCCCGAACAATGAGAACTGTTAAGGCGGCCCAACACTTTCTTCCCAATTGTTCTCGCCCCTTCGTTTCCGAGCAGCTTGAAAACAGCCACAAAATCGAGAAACATCGAGATTGCACCCTTGAGACCCCATCAAAAAGTTTCCACACCTCCAACAAAGAAGCCCACACTTTTCTCGCTGGTCATTCGATCAGTAGACAAAAACATCGTCCCCTTTCAATTAACCTCAATGTGCACAAATTATGGCGCATCAAATCGCGCAAAACCAACGATTGTTAACCCAAGGCATCACACTTTTCGGACTCCATCACAGGTGCGAACCTTCCGAGGCACCCCCACCGACACCTGTTCAATGTACGCATTGCTTTAAACATGGACACACCCCAAACGGATGTCCCAATCAACCAATCTGCCCCACTTGCCCCAACACACACCCGCCAAACAAATGTCCACAAACTGACCCTAAATCCCCCTTTTGTGTGTGGAAATCACCCCGCCTGGTCACGGAAGTGCCCCAAATTTCTAGAAATCACGGCATCCGAAGAACCCCAACAATGTCCACTCTAATAATCGACCCTCTGGAAGATTTTGCCCACCCCATCGACGTCACAGACGATCAACCCCCCTCCATCGACCCCAGTTCTCTCCACCCCAAACAACTAGCTGTAACTAACCAAAGTTCTCATGGACCTCTATCCGTTCCAAAGGAACCAGGTCCAAGCTGCCATCGAGCAGGCCTTCCGCCACATTTTCCGGCTAATCACCCGGTTCAATCATTCGTCGTCGTCGGCTCCACTTCACATTCGATGACTAGGCCCCCGAATTACACATTTATCCCGGCGCTTGCTGTCCCCCCCTCAGCAAGCGCCCCCCGTCCCGGGGCCGAACCACGGGCAAACTCCAACCACGCAAACAAACCCAAACCTGCAAATTAACATCGCCACCATTAACATAGACAGCATAACCCGCAAGTACCACTCCCTAAAAAACTTCATCGCAACCGACGAGATCCACATATTATCCATAACACAAACCAAAACCAAAAAAGACATTAAAATCAACTTCACCCCATAAAACCGACCATCAATAATGCCTAATGCACGTGGAACGGCCCTCTTAATCTCCTTAAATATCCCCTCGATCCCGCACCCCCTTCCGAACCACTTGACACACCTCGAAGCAGTAGCAGCTAATGCGTTTATCGACGACATCCAAATTACCTTACTGTCATACTATAACCCACCAGATGAAGAAATCTCAATCCCTCTCCTACAATACACGTCTAATCTCCCAAATGCCATTCTATTAGTCGTCTTAAATTTGAGACACCAAGATTTCGGCGACATCTGCACAAATCGTAATGGCCTATTTTCAACTCTCAACCACTAAAAGGACCACGAGACCCCGAAGGAACCAGCCACAAGACCAACCACAAGACACCCACAAATCACCAAGACCACCACAGCCACTCCACAACAGACGAAAGAGACGCGACACAGACTTCCCATCCCCAACCACTGTATATATAATTAAGACATAGAATTAAGATACATGTATATATAAATCAATAACAAAGTATTATAATATCTTAAGCCAAACAAAGTGTAACACCCTGTGCTGAAAAGGCCCTAAGCCTCAGAAGCACCCGACAAACTTATTATATTATAATATCTTAAGGACTCGATGTAAACATAATATCTGAATACATGTATTATCTAGGTATCTATCTCGCTCGGTATCACTTCGGCGGCCGCTCAAGTAACAATAAATCGCTCCGCACTAGTTAACCGAGGGTCTTATTTCCTCGGAAATCCCTATACAAATAAAAAAGCACGCAACCAGTTCTTTTCAGAACTTCCCTATCTGAAAATACCCGGCTTCCTGGTTCGAGCCGGTGTCTCGACGAGTGAGGACAGGCCGTCCCCGTCAACCTGCGACGTCGGGACGCCCTATCCCCTAACACGAGGGAACAAGCTACGCATTTTATAATACAATGCACTACAGCATTAGCTTCTTCTTTCTGATCGCCGAGTCTAAACAACACAACTTATATGCATGAATACGCAATTTTTTAAACTCAACTGTTGTTTGTAATTTTTATATGTTGGTTCCTAAATGAAAGTAGTAGCTAAAAGCAGAAAATTAAGCTTACAAATAAATTGTAAAAACGTGAGATATGCAGTTTAGTAGCCATAAACAGCAGCTAAAATTACTGCTGCCCTCCGTAGGAGTAGCGGCTAATAAAAAAAAACTAACACATCAGAAGGAATTGTGAACGCCCCATGTTGAACAAGAAACAGAAGAGTAAGTAGTTCGGCGATTTTCGTGATTTATGTTTGCCTCTCTCGTTGTTGTTCAAGGAAAGACCATCGGCGATGAATTTGCCGGATTTGTTCGCTGCAACAATGTCTCCTGAACTGGAATCGTTGACTTGACCCGGAGCACACGTATCTCTTCACACAGACCAGGGGTTCGCGAAGCCCTACATGACGAAGCCGCCCGCCACCACAGATAACAAACGAACGAGCTTGGTACTCAGCGTTTAACATCATTTTCTTTTCGAAGGCTTCAATCTCATCTTCCCAACTTCTCTAAATTGGACTTCTTTTTGCCCCTCACCAATCGCTGTCTTATCACTCGCGGCCACGACGCGGAGCTCAGTCATCTACGCCAGAGCCCTACTGATAGTGATAGTGACGTGCACCGTAAGTCGTAGACCCTACGCGCGACGACTTCTTCCAGCGAGCCTCCGAGGAATTAAAGCACATTGTACATTGGGTTGCGCACGACCGCAATAACTTTTAAATTTCTCTTGCGCCGACGCAGCTGCCTCGCCGGGATCGTGAGTACTGGGGAAAAATTTGCGCCCGAGACTTGCCGCACTTCGTTCTCACGCCATGTAATGAAATTGTCTTGTTTTAGTTTGTTCTCCTGCGATCAGGTATAAACCGGCATTTCTCGTTTGATTTATTTTGAGATAAGATCGCCACCTGTATAATCTGGGTATTGTACAACGAGAAATGGGTTATTCCCATACCTGCAGGTAGAAGGTTTGTTTTAAAGCTCCACCCCCACAAGCCCTTTATATAAGTTCTGAGAGCCTTTTTTTTTGTAACTATCTCGAACCGCAAGTATTCCTGGAAGAAAGTAAACGCATTTTTGATTGTTGCTGGGTGTTTCAATCGATTGACATTCGACCCATACCGGGTCAATTCCAGCCGAATTGCAGCGGTTATAACTCGTGCAAAATCAGTGCCGTTATAAGAGCAACATCAGGGACCGTTGTCATCATCAGGCTGGTGGCTCTCATTCTTTATTATATCTAATCCAATCCCACTAATTTCGAATTTAGAGATACCTCGATCCCCGCTGAACGGTACATAATCTTATCCAAATCACGCCTAGTATAATCGAAATACGTTTTTTTATTTTTCTTCATTCAAAATCTATTCATCTCCCAAAATCGCTATTTTAATCAGAAATCGCATTCATATTCACGTTTAATAAATCATATTGTGGTTCTCGTAAAATCTCAAGCAACCCTTAATTTATTTCATAATCTCTTATTCTGTGTTCATAATCACGCTTGTAATAATTCGCGAACGCAATCAAATCGTTAACTCGTTTCTTGCATCCACATAATGACCAAAGCCAACGAAGCCAAAAATGTTGCAGCTACAATCATTGACAAATTATCTCGCATAGAAGAATATCTACATGACTTTAGTCTTTAAAGTGGTAATATCAGCTGTTTAAAGGCCCGTCAACAAAGCCGGAAGAATCTAAAATAAAACACCGTAATGTCAGAATCACGTTTGAAAATAAAAATTGCGATCTCATGGGAGATATAACGGACACACCACAGATCAGTAGTAATCAAATATAAAACGCACGAGAACACATCTCGCGACTACAAAACCAAAGCGAGGCTCATGCACATATTGTAAATTGAGTGAACCCAGAATACCTGGACGGGTTTCACAAAATTTACCTCCATCAAGAGCATCTGTAACGGAGAGTAATATTAGAACACGGTTCAAGTTATCTAAAGGAAGATGAATTGAATTAAATTTTAGAAGATCCTGAAAGGATCTGTCCCCGGTGAAAATCGTGTGATTGTCAAAAAAGGATCTAAGTCAGTTCACAATTTCATTATTTCAGAAGAAAAAGAAAACATTACCGTTTTAGTAATGGCCAGTGCTGCTGTTCACTGCCTTCACCCATGGTAATTTTCAAATTCAAGCCACTTCGTAAGAGCCCAGCAACTTCGGTGTCCTAGCATTGGAACATAGGACGATCTGAGAAAGGTTGAATGACAGGGGAGACATTTTACAAGCACACTACTAACATATTCTACCCCAGGATAGTAGAAAAAGGAATTGAATTTCCTATTTTACTATTGTGGACGGTCATTCTTCTCACTTAACCCCGTTTTTAACTTTTAAAGAGAACAAGATTGTGGTAATCAGATTGTTCCCTAACGCAACACATTTGATGCAACCCCTGGACATAGTCGTTTTTCATCCCCTTAAATTAACCTGGAAAAAAGCTGTCCATGATTGGCGCATCCAACATTGTCATGAAAAACAGAAAAAAGAACGTTTTTGTCCACTTCAGGAAAAAATGCTGAGAACTGTAATGCCAAATATGTTGGTGAATGGATTACGAAAATGTGGACTTCATCCTTGGCGTCCGAATAACATTGATTGCAGCAAAACTGTTCACAATAATTTAGAATCTCCTGTTAGACAGGAAATTCAACAGGAAATTTCGAAGACCGAAATAAAGTAACGCCTCCACTTTTTAGAAACTGAAATTCCAGAAGACAAGTGAAATGGAAATGACTGAACGGGGAATATTGAGGATGAAAGATTGATAGAATTTTGTCACTTTCTCCAATAGGTACTACAGCGACAACAATAACGCCGTCAACGAATTTCTTTCTCCCAAACTCCTTTAAGGTATCTCTTTTATGGCCTGAAACACCCAAGTCGACTCCTAAGAAGCCACGAGAGAAAATACCATCGTGGCAACGTCAGATCGGTGGTAAACCTGCCACAAGAAAAGAGAATCTGAACAACTAGAAAAGCTGAAGAAATTGAACAGAAAAAGAAAGCCAGACTACATCAAATTAAAGCAAAAACTTTCTCGAAGAATAAAAAAGCGAAGGGGGTTAAAACGTAAAAGGTACACGGTCGGTCATGCAACGTCATCGGTTTTAATGAACAAAATGTTCCCATTATTCGGACTGAAGCTGTTGCTGTAGGTAATTTTATTATTTATTTTTATACTCAAATATATTAAATATAAAAATTATTATAGATCCAAAACAAACCTTAAATGTCCGACGTTTTGATTAGTCAGAAAAAATTGTTGATCTGACAGAAGAATGTGTTGATCTGTCGGAAAATAGGGTTCATCAGATGGAAGACACTATGGATCAGCCAGAGAACAATGGTGATCCTGTTCCTGAACAAATTCAGAATGATGGTAGGCATTCATGGACTTTTGACCAAACAAAAGCCCTAATAACTGCCGTTGAAGCCCGTTATGAGGGCATGTTAAGTATTACGGGTTGCAGTCTCGAAATTCAGATCATTAACCTGGGACACCTTTGGTGGCGGATCAGTGAGGTGGGAGATTAAAGAGAAGCCAAATAGTTCCACTTGGCGCGCTGTTTGGATAGATAAAGAGGAGACGCTTTCTATCTCAACAAGTTTTCTGTGCGTAGCCATCGTAGTTGTGCATCGTAGTCAGTGATCGTAGTAGACGTAGCTCTAGCTCCCTCTCAGTCAGTGTGACGTATGTTTCCAAGCGTTGGAAACAAAATACACAAATAATCATTTCATAAATTTAAAAAATAGGGGCGGTTTAATTAAGCCATTAAAAACCGTATTTAAAATATGTCAGACGGCAGAAAAACATATAAGACAAA